AACAGACGCCCGTCAGCAAAGGCGGCAGCAAAGGCCTTTGCGAAAAGGTCGGCGAAGGCGTCAGCAAAGGCGTCAGCCAAGGCGTCGGCCAAGGCGTTAGCGAAGGCGTCGACAGCGAAGGGTGCGGCGAAGAGGCGAGCTCGGCCTGCCGCGAAGGCTTCACCGAGAAAGAAGGCCGTACCCAAGCCTAAAGCCGACCCCGCCCGTGAAAGCAGCTCCAGCTCCTCTTCTAGTTCTAGCAGCAGCAGCAGCAGCAGCAACAACTCCGCCTCTGGGAATCCTTCCTGCTTGGTGTTTGAGGACGACGGTCGAGATGATTGTTTGCCACTTGAGGAACACAAGGCTGCCTCAGCCGCTTCTGAACCTGCTGCAGGTTCTGGCCAGACCCGGACGTTGAGGGATGTGTTCAGCTATCACTTTCGGGCTATTGCCAGGCTGGCAGAGCACTTTGGCCAAAAGGCTTTGGAGCGACTCCGTGGCAACCTGGAGTATATGCGTGTGTGCAGCCTCTACAGCGGCATTGGTGGTGCCGAGCTTTCGATCAGTCTAGCGCATGCTGCGGCCGCCTCGCGTTTCCGCGAAGCTGACCAGCCTGTGCCGGGACCCCCTATCCCGATGCTTGCTTGCGAGTTGGACGCGCAATGCCAGAATGTTCTGCAGCAGCACCACGCTTCTGGATGTAATGAATACATGCATTTCTAGTTGTGGGGTTCTGGCAACGCTTGTTTTACATGCAGTGACAGTTTGCATGCACAGGTTCCACCTCGCAGTATCATTGGAAATCTTTTGGATTTCGTTGATCCGGAGGCGGTCTCAGAAATGCGTTCGGTTCTTCACGTTGCCAGGCGTGAGGCCTTGCAGCAGAAGGGGCGTGCCAAGGGTAAAGGGCGCGGTGATGGACCGGCGCCAGGGAAGGAGCCAGAAAACGAGATGACTGCCGCGGCCAAGAAGGCTGAGAAAGCTGCTTTGCGTGCTAAAGCCAAGGAACTTGTTTTGAAAATGATGGAAATCATTCAGAATCATGGCGGAGTTCGCGATGTGTGGGACACCAAGCATCGGAAGGCCCGGAGCAGCTCCCAAACAATGTATTTCAGGCACTTCATGCTTTGTGCCGATGGTAATGCTGC